TGGCCTCTGTGTCCTTTGAAATATTGCTTTTAAGCGAATAGGATAGAATTATGTATATTTTCTCACAGCCTTATTTTTCTCTTAATAATGTGCTCTTTCTGTGTTAAAAATAAAAACTCTGGCCCTATCCAGTTTGGCTCATTGGATAGAGCGTCGGCCTGCAGTACGAAAGGTCCCACGTTCGATTCCGGTCAAGGGCATGCACCTAGGTTTCGGGCACATCCCCAGTAGGGGGTGTGCAGGTGGCAGCTGATAGATGTTTCTCTCTCATTGATGTTTCTAACTCTCTATCCATCTTCCTTCCTCTCTGTAAAAAATCAATAAAATACATTTTATAAAATGATAATGAAAAAAACAAAGAACTCTGAGGGCTGGAGTGGTTCCGATTTTTGAGTGTCCTCCCACATACACAAAGGTTGCAATTTCTGGTGAAGCCACAAAGACAGGTTCCTGGCTGGATGCCCAGACGGTGGGTAAGGGAGGGGAGGAGGCACCCCACTTGTGTTTCCCTCTCTCCCTCTCATTTTCTCTCTCAAAATAAAATTTTAAAAAAGTAACTATCTACATATCCATTTAGATTTGTAGTCTTCAGGAATAATTTGCATAATTTTTACCTCAGGGAGCATTCTGACCTTCATGGAATCTGAAATAATATCTCCAAAAAGAGCTCAGTTGCAGACAACACTCCCCATACCCTGCGACCAGCCACCAAAACCTAAGGTTGCCATTTCCCACAGCCATTCGGGCGCAACAACACCAATATTCTCAATGACCAGCCAGTGACTGCGATCCTAATGCCACCTGCGCAGCCTGGAAAGCACCTTACCCAGAGGGTAATGCGCCTAATGATGTCTGCGTTTAGCCAATGAAAGCCCAGGAGAGGCGCATGAGCCTGGCGCTCATTGGTTTGGGCGTGACTCCCAGATTAGTCCTCCTGGTGGTCATTTTCACCTCCTGTTCTATCGACTTAGAGGCACCAGCGGGCAGCATCAGGACTAGGACAAGCCATCAGAGACAGCGTCCCTGCTGTTCAGAGGGTGTCTGAGGCTTGTTGACCTGCAGCACGCGGGATTGAGGTCTCCATGCTTCCCGGACTCCTCTCTGCTCACTGAGGTCAACTCAGCCTCTCCCCATTTACCCTCCACCTACCACGCTGTCAGGCCCTGCAGCTCGCGTCCCAGCACCCAGAACAGTGAGTAGCTTGTAGGTGACACAGCATGTGACGGGGTGAAAGACGTTGAGGGGCTGCAATGCCGCTCAGTCAGGCAGTGGGGCTGTGGCTGAGCTGTGAGGACTCGGGAAACCCAGGTCTGTTTTGTGTTTAAAGGCAACAAAGAAGATGAGGCAAAGTTTTGTGTGAGGCGTTTTACTTTCATCCTCAGGACGCTGGGGCCATGGGTGGTTGTGAACAGCAGAGGGACGTTGTCTGAGGTAGGGTTCTAAACATTTCCCCAAACTGCTGATAAGAATCACACCTTAAAAGGGAGAGGAGAGCAGTTAGGGATGGGAAGGAGGAGTCTTTTGAAAGATAAGGAACTTGGCAACAGTGTGCACTGAGGACTGAGCCCTGGAGGAATGCATGTATCACTCAGCACCAGACATGGGCCAGGGCCCTGAGCAGCCTGAGCCCCTGGATCCTGGCGTTGGGTGCCAGGCCGTCAACAGACGTTTAGTTCCTACAGGTTCCTGCTGGTGAGGAGCCGCTGAGGGGACTGGGCTGTGGGGCTGATGTCAGGGCCTCAGACTCTTGTGGCCTCTGAGACAGTGGGGTCCTGGGGCTGTCCAGCCTCTCTTCCTGCCCTGGGACATAGGGACATAAAAAGAGACACAAATCCTAAGTCCATGACTAGGGTTTGATGAAGTGGTCCATGGTTTTCTAGCAAACAGTGGAATGAGATGTGGGAGGTCGTTCCAGGCACAGGTTTCAGATGTGGCAGAGGCTCAGAGTGAAGACAGCTGGTTCTGGAACTGCAGGAATGCTATTCCCTTTAATGGGAATAGGTAAGAATGGGAGCGGAGTCAGGTGTAGAGGAGCTTTGTGACAACACGGTTGTCTGTTCTGCAGGTGATGGGGGCAATGGGAGATTTGGAGCAGAGGAGACAGGTGATGTGACTCAGGTCTCATTAGAAGCCCTGTGGCTGCAGCATGGAGAGCAATATGGGTGATAGGGAGGTGGTGAGATCGTCTGGGAGAGTGGAATGGTAACTGGCCCCTGATGGTAGCCCTGGAGATGGAAGACACAGTTGGATCTGGGATTGGTATTTTAGGTGTGGCCACCTTTATTATCTAATTTTGAGTTTGAAAGTGAGACAGGGTTGGGTAAGAGTCAGAGATGAGATGAAGGTTTGTATTTAGCATCTGAGGATTTGGAAGCACCTTCATCTGGCATGAAGACATTCATAGTGGGAAGGTTCATGTTCATTGCAGATAAACACGAACAAACACTTACTTTGGCCTGTTAGGGTGTGAGATATTTCAGAGAGCAGTTAAAGAGCATCTGGAACTCGGAGGAGTTGTTCAAGACGAAGATGACTCAAAAGGAGTGAAGACCGCCTGGACCAGAGGGGAGTTGTAGATCATCATTTTATTTTAATTCGAGGCCCTAGGTCAATGGAAAGAAGGTGAGTTTTGGTCTGGTGCATATTTACTCATTGAACACTCACCAGAAATATTCTGTGAGCCTTGGTGTGGCCAGACTGAGTGAAACAACCCAGGCTACACCAAGGCTCACAGAATATTCCTGGTCCATGTTTAATAAATAAATATGTACCAGCCCCATTTTCACCTTGTTTCCATCGTCTTAGGGCAATGATCGGCAAACTCATTTGTCAATAGAGCCAAATTTCAACAGTATTTCTTCAAAATAGACTCACCCAGGCCAAAAACTGACTTCTGCGAATGGGCCACGAAGTTTCAATCACACTGTATGTTCGCGCCCACACGTGGTATTTTGTGGAAGAGCCACATTCAAGGGGCCAAAAAGCTGAATGTGGCTCATGAGCCACAGTGTGCCGACCACTGCCTTGGGCCTCCAATTAAAATAAAATGAAAATACATCCTGCATATCAGATATTTACATTATGATTAGTAATAAGCAAAATTACACTTATGAAGTAGCAACCAAAATAATTTTATGCTTGGGAGTCACCACAACATGAGGAACTGTATTAAATGGTCGCCGCATTTAGAAGGTTGAGAACCACTGGCTTAGGGGCATGAGTGGCCATCAGTGAGATTCACTGAGCATGGGGTGAAGTTTACTAATCCCTCCTTTGTAAAACTGCTGTTTAAACTACTCTGATATTCTTAGAAAGTCTCTTATTCTGGAGGTGAACTCTGTTATTTTTAGGCTGGAAAATAACTTTGCTTTTTTGTTTGAATAGAAAAGATAAACTTAATTGTCTGACCTTGCAAGCTAGCCATCTAACTAATATGCTCATATTGATGCCAGGTGCCTGTATAGATATGATACTCAAGGGTACAAGTGTCTGTATAGATATGACAGGTGTTTGCTAGATATGATATGTACTCAAGGTTACAAGCTGTCTACAAAATTAACTGACAGAAGGGCCTAAGAAAGATATAAAAAGAGAATTATTCCTCCTTTGGGTGTTCACAATTTGACAGAGGTACTGTGCTCTGAACCTGCACCCAATAGAGATAACTCCTAACAGGCTCATTAAGGCATCTTGTCCAGCTCGCTGTTTATTAATACAACAGGGGTAGAGGGCCATCGGCCATGAGACTTGAGTGGTGAGGGCTGTGACGGGGGATGGGAGATCATGTGCAGCACTGGTGGAGGTGGGCTCTGGATATCTAAGACGTGATGTGGTTCTCAATAGGTGAGGTTGAAGGAAAACACCATCAGGGAGTGAGGCCTTTATAGCAGGGCTCACGGCTGTCTCAATGAGTGTGGACTCTCAGAGTTGGTGTAGAACTTATTCCTGTTTGAATTTGCCAAGCAGTCACTACACCACACCTGCTGAGTAATGAGGAGGAAGTCAAGGAGATGACTGTGGGGCTGTGGGTGTGGGAGTGCAGGTGAGAGAGAGGTGTGGGAGAAGGAGTGATGTGCCCTTGGAGAGGGGGTGTGAATTCATGGCCACAGGACACTGGATGTTGCAATAAGGGTGAATAAGGGGTGAGTCCATTTTTGGTGGTTACTGGCTGATATGAGATATGATAGGTTATGAGGAATTTTAGGGTAATTGTCTGAAATAGGGGTGTTGTGGTGAGACCTGCCAGGTGTAGAGCTGAGGTGTCACATAGATGCATACCTTCCTATGGTTGTCGAGGGCTGACACATTGATCAATGGGAAGGAGATAGCATATATTGTTGTCACTTGTGCTTGCACGTTTGCAGTGGAATGGGGAAGGGTGATAAAAACAGAGAGAAACACATTACAGAGGCTGTGAATTAGACATTTGGAAGAGAAGGTGAGTAGGAAATAAAGTGTTCTCGCCATGACAAATTTGTGTTGCCTTTGACGATGTGCCCCTGGAAATGAAGCTGTGTGAGAGAAGTGTGGTTCAAAGAATTATGTTGAGCAGATAGTGCAAGGTGATGGCCTCAACACCATGGTACCAGAGTCAGAAGAGTGAAGCACGAGGCCATGTTTTTTCATGTCTCTGAGAGAGAATCCGGGCAATAACAAGAGTATTGCGTGACAAAAGCAGTGAGAAATCATTCACATTTTCTTTATGGCCAACATCTCTCTCTTCCCTATGTGGTGACACCCACTCTATAGACAGGAGGCTGTTTGGCTTACATGTGAGGCCCAGATGTATTTTCTCTCAGCTCAACTGCCTTTATTGTTGTGGTAGGAACAGTATTTGTAGGAATATAAGGAGAGAGTGATTTTGATCGGCCGAAGGCCTGCTGTCTATTCTGATGAAGTTTAGAGGGAGCATACGGATGTGGAGGGTGGGATGTATGAAGAACTTGAAATCCTAAGAGAGAAGCTAATCATGGCTTGAACTGTCCCCATTTTGACAGAACATGAACTTTGAGGACGTGGCCATTGTCTTCTCTGAGGAGGAGTGGGGGCTCCTTGATGAGGCTCAGAGACTTCTCTACTGCAATGTGATGCTGGAAGTGTTTGCACTTGTCTCATCTGCAGGTAAGTCCTTCACGTTTGTCCCAGTGTCCTGAGGTGATGTCTACTCTTCATTTATTCTCCAAACGTAGCTCTCACAGCCACACCGTGGGCTCTACTAATATCCCCCACTGTCCTTTCAAATGAGCTGTGGCTGCCAGGGGCGAGCTGTGTGGGCAGCCCTAAGCTCTGGACTCCCAAAGCATCCCTTACACCCGCTGCTTCAGAAAATGCAAGAAGTGTCTGGCAATCAGGAGTCCTGCAATGAGCTTAATACAACCCACTTTGAACTTTGTCTACCTGGGAAGGTGACTATGTCCTCATGGCTTCCACTTCTACACCATTCATCCAGGTAAGGCTCTTTGTGACGCCTGTGCCAGGTTATGTTCTTTACTTACATGAACCATAGCTGTTCTTGTAACATCCTACCTCAATTGTTGTTTGTAATATTTCCTTTCCTGAATACTATTGCATTCCGAATTGCTCTGGGTTAGTGCTGGCTGCTCACCTCCCTTGTGTTTCATTAATACTCTGAATATTTAGTTTGTATGTATTTATAGAGTAGAAGGTGCATGGAGAACCCTGTATTTTTTCTCAGGGTGAACTAAAAAGATGGTCTCTGATGAGGGCTGATCCTATTGAGTGGAAACTGGGGGAAGGTGTCACATGAGGGCTTTTTCCAGATCACACCAGGAAACCGCTTGTAACCAACCATATTTAGGTGCAGATGCGTGTGTCCACAACTTAATTCTACATTTTCTTTACCATTATTGACATTTTGATGACTGATCATCTCATTTATGATTTCCTGGGTTTGGCTACCTTCACGTTGGTCATCTTTTTGCATCACCTGTCCCTCGGCATTGCTCCCTCTGCAGTAATCTCCTATATGGACCGGCACATGTGTTATGAGGTGCACATACATGCTTAAGTAGTACTCGAACCCCTGCTACTGAATTTTACTTGGAATAAGACATAAGCAACCTTCTGCCCACCTTGCCCATGTCACCAGCAGACAAGCCCTGGTGAGCACTGCTAGAAGAAGCAGCTGATGATCCTGCTTCAATTCCATGTGGTGCTTGCCATCTTTGTGTCATATTTCTGGTGGGGCTTTCATTGTTTTGTAATATGCAGAGTTCCAGTACTTCACAGGTGTCTTTTCCAAACCGGTCCAGCACATCTGTTATTTTCACACAATTGCATAGAATGCATGTATGATGTCCAACATATTTTTGTAATGGAACTTCCCTCATCACCGTAGTCAACATCCAGTTCCTTCTCATTTCTCTGTTTTCAGGTTGTTGGCATAACACGGATGACGAGGAGACCTGTTCTGAGCTCAGTATGTCTGTGCAAGGAGAGTCACAGGTCAGGGCGTCTCAGACAGAGCCAGCAACCCAGAGGACCCATCTGTGTAAGCGGTTTTTCTCTGTATTCAAAGACATTCTGCACCTGACTGAGTCTCAGGCAGCATACTTTGAGCAGAAAGCCTTCTTAAGTGATGAATGTGTGAGAGACTTCTGTTTCAGTGCAAACCCTCGCCAGCAACAGAGGGAAGCCAGTGGAGAGAAGCCCTGGAAAGAAGCTGTGAACAGGGCCTCGTTTGTGACCAGGTGCAGCTTCTACTTATCAGGGCTGCGTTCATCCAGGAGGGAGGGTGGGGAAGACCTGCCAGCCATCTCAGAGCTTCTCCAGCCCCAGGCCCCTCTCAACACTGAGGAGCCACACGGTGGCAGTGAGACTTCCCAGAAAATTCCCAGTGGAACAGGTCATAACCAGTGGGGTCAATGTGAAAATACTGCCAGCCACAACCAGAATGTTATTCAACATGGCCTCTGCTCTGGAGAAGTGAAATATGAATGTAACAAATATGGAAATATGTTTAGAGGAATCTCTAGCCTCATTCGACATAGGAAAGTTCACAGTGGACAAAAGCCATATAAGTGTAGTGATTGTGGGAAGGCCTTTGGATATAAGACTAACCTCAATGAACACCACAGAGTTCACACTGGAGAAAAGCCCTATGTGTGTAGTGACTGTGGGAAGTCATTCAATTATATCTCTGTTCTTAATCGGCACCAGAGAGTTCACACTGGGGAAAAGCCCTATGTGTGTAGTGACTGTGGGAAGTCATTCAAGTATATCTCCGTTCTTAATCGGCACCAGAGAGTTCACACTGGGGAAAAGCCATATGAGTGTACTGATTGCGGCAAGACTTTCAGTCAAACAAACAACCTCACTGACCACCAGAGAGTTCACACAGGAGAAAAACCTTATGAGTGCAGTGAATGTGGGAAATCTTTTAGATGCCGTGGTCAACTTTTTACCCATAGGAGAATTCACACTGGAGAAAAACCTTATGAGTGTACAGTATGTGGGCATTCCTTCAGACAACGGTGTACCCTGACTAAGCACCAGAGAGTTCACACTGGAGAAAAACCTTATGAGTGCAGTGAATGTGGGAAGTCCTTTAGAAAAAGGTGTACCCTCACCGAACACCAGAGAGTTCACACTGGAGAAAAACCTTATGAATGCAGTGAATGTGGGAAATCTTTTAAATGCTATGGTACCCTTTTGAACCATAAGAGAGTTCATACAGGAGAAAGGCCTCATGAGTGTAGTGAATGTGGGAAATGTTTTAGCCGAAAGTCTCACCTCCTTAGACACCTGATTGTTCACAATGGAGAAAAACTGTAAATGTGCACCGAATACTTTTTTTCTCATTGACAATAACAACACCTAAAAGGACCATTTGATACACATTTAACAGAACATGAACCCCTTTTATCACAACATGCACTCGGCTAGATTCCTCATTAAATTTAAAGTAGAACTGATGCTTTAGATAACTGCATGGCACTTGCTAAGCTGCTCAGGCCTACTACCCGTTTGAAATCATGGGGACTATTCCTGGCTGAGGCGATTTCACCTCCACCACCTTGCTCGCCTGAACAGGGTGCCTCAGTCACAACCCCTGCGTGGTCAGGGAAAAGGAATTCTGTGTTCTCACCTCGGCCTGAGCAAACTGTGATTACTCCAAGCTCCTGGTGGGATCTTCATTCCTTTCTGACTAGGAAATGGAGTTGATTGAGGGTTCATCCAGCTCACCCATCCTCAGCTAAGTAGAGCTTCCTCTCTCACGATATCACCTTATGCTGTGATGAATTGTTTCAGGTTCCAGTTCACCAACCTGCAAACCCATTGAATTTTCTAACACATCTCGGGATTATGATCCTTTTGTCCAGGTGCTTTTGCTCATGTACTAGTACCTTTCCTTTTGTTGGTCCTATGCATTGCCTGGATTGATCTGAAAGCACACTTGGGATCTGTCTGCATGTCCAGGGGAACAGACATTGTGGGAATCCCCAACCTGCTGTGTTTCCGAAGGTAAAGCGTGGAGTCAGAAAATCACTGTGTCCAGTATTCACTTGTAGTGCAGTGCTGCCCAAGACCTGGAAAGAAAACCGGCATGACCTGGTGGTTCTTATTTGCTGCCTGGTGCTCCTTTCATTTCGGTCTGAGGTCATCCTGAAGATGGGGGTGGGGGGCTTTGTTGTGCTTCTGTGAACAATGTGAATTATATTCTCTGTTCACAGTGTGTATTACATACTGTCAAGGTTCCTTGTGCCGTTATGAATGACATTTCGTAGGCTGGTGTCGCTTGTATTGAGACTCTGAGGGTTTGGTGGAACTACAACTGGGTCAGAAACTCTGTATTCATAGTGAATGGGAAAGAGTGCAGTGAATGAAGTGAACCGCGCCTCTTGTGAACGTTACCCACAAATAACCAACGAGTTGTGACTTGTGTGGTCATTGTGGACAGGCGTCCTCAGTTCCTCCATCACTGTTTCCTGTGGCTAAAGTCATTTTTAGAGAAAATAATCTAAAGGGTCTGTGTCCTCTTCTGACCTCTCTAAGGTGTTCACTTCAAGGTTTGCTCAACAGGCAAGACCTCAAAGCTAGAGGAATTGTAATCCTGTAGTCAGTCCCAGGATGTGGCATTTGTGATCCAGTCAGCATTCCTATGACTCTGATGGCCACAGTCTTCCCTGCTTGCCAATATTTGCTGCCACTGAGGCAAGGCTGGTGCTCCCAGGGAATTAGGAGAGAGATGGTAGAGCCCATATCGGGTTGTCATTTCAATTTTCTTACAAGACAGCGATATCTGGGCCTTTATTTGGAAGCACATTTTAAGGATTTATTTAGGTATAGTTGTACTATTTGGTGAGCTGGGACATAGGGATCAAGCTCTAAAATGGTCACATGTGACATAAACTTATCTCTCACCATATACAGGTTCGGGCAAAACCAGGCATATAGATGTGAATATGCAAAACACAGAGATGGCTCTCTATTTTTGTAAATAAGTATTTTACATATTTAAAAATATTTTAATTACTTTTCACAAAGAGAGGAAGGGAGAGGGAGAGAGAGAGAGAGAGAGAGAGAGAGAGAGAGAGAGAGAGAGAGAAATGGTGATATTAGAAAGAAACAGCAAGCTGCTGACTCCTGCACGTCACCTACAGGGCATCCAGGCAGGCACGTGCCTTGAGCTGGAATGGATCCAATGACCTTTTAGGGCAACGGATGGTGCGCAAACACCTGAGGTTTACTGGCAGGGAAGAGTTTATTCTTGTTTTTTATTATTTTTAAATTATTGGAGTAATTTCCATGCCAACAGCTCTACACCTACTTGTGACACACCCTGTATTTACCTCCTGCCCTTTTGTAATCTCTCCTTCTGCCTTCCCCAGGCATTGATTTCCCATCCTTTACAAGATTAGTTAATATTTTTCATAATTTCATAAGCAATATTAGGTGTATATAAATATTGCTTTCCTTCATGCTACACAGTATTTTGAGATTCAACATGAATGCTTATGTGAATAGTTAATTTTTTTTATGGCTGAGTCATACTGTTTTCTGTGAATAGCCAGTTTACCCATTGATCTGTCTATGGTTTTAGTTATTTCCAGGTTTGGGATATTAAAAATAAATCCGCTGGGAATATTGCCTTCAGTTCTTTATATAGAGGTATGTTTTACTTATCAAAGTGATGCAGTGTAGGTGACTGTATTACCTGTTAGTATATGCAGAACTGTGTTCTACAATGAACATTCCCTTTGGCTTTCCCACTACTTACAGTAATGAAATTTCTAGTTTTTCCACAACCCTGTCAGCACATGTGATGTTTAATCTTTTTAAAAATAGGCCAAGAAATGAGTATAGTGTTAACTTGCTTTGTTTTAAGGCCATTTTCCTAATAAAATTTTTTAAATTTTTTTCCCTAATAAATTTTTATGGTGAACATTTTCTCAAGCAATTCTTTACACTGTCTTTGTCTCCTTTGTTGAAATGTCTGGTCAGAATATTTTGCCAATTTTTAAAATGAAATTATTTTAACAATAGCTTAGTGCAGATATATTTATTTATTAAGATATAGTTATTTATTTCACTCAATCCTCAATGACTCAAATGGAATTCTTTGCAATGTGAAACTATAAATATTTTTTAAATATTTTTTATTGATTTTAGATAGGAAGGAAGAGGGATAGAGAGATAGAAACATCAATGATGAGAGAGAATTATTGATTGCCTGCCTCATGCACGCCCCCTTCTGGGGATCAAACTCCCAACCCAGGCGTGTGCCCTTTCTTGGAATCAAAACCAGGACCCTTCAGTCCCCAGGCCGACGCTCTATCCACTGATCCAAACTGGCTAGGGCTCAACCCCTTAATTCTTTTTTTTAAAAAAAAGTATTTTTATTAATTTGAGAGAGGAAGGAAGATGGAGAGAGAGAGAGATAGAATCATACACGATGAGAGAGAAGCATCTATCAGCTGCCTCTTGTACATCCCCTACTGGGAATCGCACCGACAACCTTGGTTGTGCCCTTGTACAGAATCGAACCTGGGACCCTTCGGACTACAGGCTGATGCTCTATCCAGTGAGCCAAACCCGCTAGGGCCCCTTAATTCTTTTTTAAAATTGTAATCCTCATCTGAGGATATGTTGATTGCTTTGAGAAAGAGAGGAACGGAGTGGCACAGAGAAAAAAAAGGAACATCCATGTGAGAGGAAACATGGACCTGTTGCCTCCATAAATGCCGGGCAGCAGATCAAACCCACAACCTGGTCTGCGCCCTCACCAGGAGCCCAACATGCCCTTTGACTGAAGTGGGCGAATGAAATGAAGCTGCAAGAGATTGAGCCGCCTGGCCAGGGCAGCACCTGAAATCTTCATGTTTCCTTCAAGACCATGAGTTAGTATGACTCAGCATTTGGGGGAGTGTTTGTTTTGCATGATGCCTATTGGTTGTATGTGTGAATTGGCTGTCCCTTTGGGTGTTCCTGATGTGTGTATTGTGTTCTCTTTGTGTCTGTGTTCTATGTCTGTGTATGTCTGCTCTGGTGTGTGCGTGCGTGTGTTCAGTGTGTGTGTGTGTGTGTGTGTGTGTGTGTGTGTTCCCCTCAAGGTGTTCCCTGTGTCTGCAGTGTGTGTCTGTGTGAGCCTTCCCATAAGCCCTGCACCTGAGTGCCCTGCTGTGGCTGGGGGTGTCCTGTACGTGAGTGTTTCTGTGCTTGTGGTGTCCGTATATTTCCCTGTGAGTCTGTGCACCCCAGACACAGGCAACTGCCTAGGCAGTCACTGGAGGGGTCAGGAAGGAGCCCCTTCTGTCCCTGCTCACCCAGCCTCTGCTGTCCCCCAGGGGGGCCCCTCTCAGGCTTCAGGGATGGATGAAGTGAAAGATCAGTTCATAGAACCCCAGGCTGTGGGAAGGGGAGGAATTAGTGAAGATTCTGATGGCAGACTGGAGTTAGAGAGTGTGCATGGGGAATGTTTGTGAAGGACACTAGGCTTCGTGGAGGAGCTGGGGATCCAGGTGCCTTGGAAAGGAATGAGTGGGTGGGTGCATGTGGGGGGAGCTGAAGGGTAAGACTTCCAGGCTCCTAACCACCCACTAGGAATGAGGAAGTGGACATCCCTGGAGAGGGGTGTCCCTTGCCCATGTGAAAGCGAGGCTGACCCCTCAGGGAGGAAGGTGCCCGGGTCTACCAGAGCATCACTCCTAAGACCGCTGGGACCTGGTCAACTGGGAGTGCGTGGCCACACAGGACACTGGGACCAGGAGGGAGAGTTAGGCCCAGAGGTCTCTTCACTGTGTTGGGGAGAACTGTGGAGGGACTACATTTTGCACAGAATCCTGCACAGAACGAATGGAAGCCACAGGGTTACCATTGATGTTAATGGCAGCATTTTCACCATCAGCCGCACCTGCTGAGGCCCTCACATGGGCAACGCAAATGACACAGGGCCTTGGAGGCAGGGAGGGCCTGATGTTCATGTAAAAGCACATGATGCTGGAGGCTTCCAGCCTGTGCCCTTCCCAGTCAATGCTCTTAACTTTTGAGTCTTCATCTCCACCGAGTGTGGGACCCGAGGCAGCCAGGGGTTTACCCAGGTCACACTCAGAAGTGGGTTCTGAGTTCGCTGCCAATGCCATCTGCCCGAACTCCTTTTCTGAGGTTCACTGCTTTGGAACTTGCCAGTGATGGTTTAGGGCAGCGGTTCTCAACCGTGACCCCTTTGGCAATCGAACGACCCTTTCACAGGGGTCGCCTAAGACCATCCTGCATATCAGATATTTATATGACGATTCATAACAGTAGCAACATTACAGTTATGAAGTATCAAC